GTGTTCCCCAACGGTCCATACCGGGACCAATCCTATCCAATATATTTATAAATGACCTGGAGAAAGGGATAAACAGGGAGGTGGCAAAATTTTGCAGATGATATTAAACAGCTCAAGATAGTTAAGAACAAAACAGACTGTAAATAGCTTCAAAAAGGACCTCACAAAAGTAGGTAATTGGGCAACAAAATGGCAACATAATTTTAATGTTGATAAAAGCAAAATAATGCACATTGGAAAAAATAATCCTAACTATCCATACAAAATGGTAGGGACTAATTTAGCTATAACTACTGAAGAGAGAGATCTTGCAGTCATTGTGGGTAGTCCTCTGAAAACATCAAAAAAGCAAACAATGTTAGGAGTCATTACCACAGGGATAGAGAATAAGACAGAGAATATCTTATGGCCTCTGGATAAATCCATGGGACGCCCACATCTTGAATACTGCTACAGATGTGGGCGTCTCATCTCAAAAACGATCTCTTGGCATTGGAAAAGGTTCAGAAAAGGTCAACTAAAATGCTGAGGGGTTTGGAACAGGTGCCATATGGAGAGAGATTAAAAAGACTTGGACTTTTCAGCTTAGAAATGAGGACACTAAGGGGGATCTGACAGAGGTCTATAAAATCACGACATGTGTGGAGAAAGCGAACAAGGAAGAGTTATTTACTTGTTCCCATAACGTAAGAATGAGGGTCTCCAAATGAAATGAATAGGTAGCAGATGTCTGACAGGGCACTTGCTCTCCACTGGCCCTTTAAGGACAAAAACCCCAGCCCTGAGTGAGGGCTGAGAGCAAAGCCCCAGCTCAGGCAGCTGCTGCTAATGAGGGCCCAGCTGGGGACAATATAAGGAAGGGCTTCTGGAGCTAGAGGAGAACTTTGACTTATTGGGATTGGTCCTGCCTTGGGCAGCAGGTTGGACGTGATGACCTCCTGGGTCTCTTCCAGCTCTATGGCTCTATAAAGTTACTGCTGCTCTGGAGAGAGAGCAGGAGGGGCTTGGCTGCCAGGGAACCAAAGCAGGGCTGGGGAAGGCAGGCAGGGCTGAGGAAGCTCTGGCCAAGCAAGTTCCCAGGCTGCAGGGCCTGAAGCAAGGCCCGAAGCTACTGGGGCTGCACGGGGCAGCCAGGGCAGGTAAAGGCAGCAGGTCAACACCCCTTTGCCATAATGAGTGGCCATTGCAGATGCAGTTTGCCCCTGAGGTCATTGGGGCAAGGTGGATACAGGGGAACTGGGTGTTCCCTGGGAGGAGAACAGGGTGCCCTGGGGAGGGGAGGACCCTGGAGGGTGAAGCTGGATAAACACCCTCCCCCCCCCCCGGAAGGGGGCTCAGAAACACTGGGGTGGGCACTGCCCAGAGGGCAGTGTCCTGAAGAGGATGCCGTGGCCCAAGAACGACACGGGTTTGGACTAGAGAGGGGAGTGAGAACATGGGGAGACACCAGCTAGAGGGAAGCGTACAGTGAGTTGACAAGCTAATTCCCAGGGCTACTGGTGCCATGGTGGTGAATCTGACCCGTGACAAGGTATCAAACAAACAAAAGTAAGTATTTACCTGTGGAACTCCATGCCATAGGATGTTGTGAACACCAGGATTCTAACAGGGATCAAAAAAGAACTAGATAAATTCATGGAGATTAGGTCCATCAATATTTATTAGCCAGGATGGATAGGAATGGTGTCTATAGCCTCCGTTTGTCAGAGGCTGGAAATGGATGACAGGAGCTGGACCTTTGGTCTGATCCAACATGGTCGTCCTTATGTTCTTGTGTACCAATCCTCTGGATCCAAAGATGGAATGATGGAACTCAGGGAGACCATATGAAACTTGTGGTTGAGACTAACTTGAGTTCCCTGAGGTCCAAAATCGGTCTGAGACCTCTCTTTGGTTTCGGAATAAGGAATTAGTGGGAGTAGAAACCCCTGCCCCTGAACTCCTGAGGAACCTCCTCCACTCTCCCTAAGTGCAGGGGCATTTGCACCTCTTGAAGCAGAAGTGGCACTTGAGAAGGGTCCCTGAAGAGGGATGGGCAGGAGGGGGGTGGGAGGGAATGGAATGGGATAGACTATCCCATTTCCATAGTGCAGAGAACCCAATGGGCTGAATGCTGGCCCAGGCCCGGTGGAAATGCGGGCGGGAAATCAAGAACTGTTGGTATTCTGTCCTCAGGCACACATTCAAACGGTCTGCTTGGAGCCCGAGGAGGTCTTCGCCTGACCCTGGTTATTGCCTGACTAGGGTTGAAATGACTTCCCACAGAAGTACCGAGGGCAATGATGGGGAAAAGTCAGATTTGGCTCCAGTGAGAAGGACCTCAGAGAATTGTGGCTTGAAAGCCTTACGCTGTGTTGCCAGGGTATATATGCTTTAAGGATTTCATTGTGTTCTGGGAGCCATAGAGGTTATGCAGTTGATTTATTCTGCAAATATGCCAACCTCATCAAACAGGAGGTCTTAAATTGTCTGTTGACCTCTGGTAGGAGTCTCAAGGGCTGGAGCCAGGCATTTCTGCACATTGTGAATCCTGATGAGATGACATATGCTGCTGAATGTGCCACATCCAAAGATGCCTAGAGGGAGGTCTAGACACTGCCTTACTGTCCTGGACCAGGGCAGCAAACTTATCCTGTGACTCCTGGGGCAACGGGTTCCTTGAACTGAGGAGGGAGGACCAGGAGATAGGATACACTATCCTGAATAGAAATGATTCTGAGTAACAGGCCCCCATGGAATAAACCTTGTGTCTGAATAAGTAGTAGAAGAACTTAGCAACGCTCAGCTTGGGCACAAGGTCCTGGTGATCCTGCCTCTCCTTCTCATTCACTGTCTCCACCAGGAGTGAGCCTGATGGAGAGTGGGTGAACAAGTATTCAAAACCCTTGACCAGGTCAAAGTACTTTTGCTCCATTCCTTTCACTGTCAGGGAGCTAGGGGCCAGGGTTTGCCGGATGGTCTTGGCTGAAGACTGGATAATCTTTATGATGGCAACTGTCACCCTGGAAGGACCCTCTGGAGCCAGGATTTCAACCTTGGGGTCATCCTGCTCAACTACCTTCTCCACCTGGTAGGATGTCTAGCGTAGTATGTAGTCCATGCGTGAAGGGCCTGTGATGGACATGCATGCCACCTCCTCATCCGGGGAGGAAAAAGAGGCCAAAGGCAGGGCCAGGTCTTCAAGCTGGCCCAACAGGGGCAAAGTCAGGTCCAAAGGGGGGGGGGGACAGCAATGAGAGGGGTGGCACCATCTCTTGTCACGGTCACTTCTGGGACCCGGAGTCCCAGCGGGCTGGAGAGGAGCCCATTGGCAGTGTGCCCTGAGCCTGATGGAACATCCATGTCATCCAAAATCGTCACTGCGGAGGCCCCTGAGGGGCGCACAGGTATTTAGGGGGATGAGGGACTGCTACCATCAATTGATCTGAAGCAACCAATGCTTTTCCAGAGGGAGATGAGATGAACCGGAACAAGGAGGCTATGGGGGAGGGGGAACGCAGCCAGTTGCACTGAAGAAATGCAGTGCCGAACGACAAGACTTGGACCACCTTCAGGATGACAATCTTAACTAGTACAGGAACCCTGAGCAGTGCTGGGAAGAGGAGTGGCACTAAGAGTGCAAGTGGGGTCTAGGAAATGAGTGGTGCAGAGATCGAGACGGATACCAGGATCGTCAAGGTGAGGCACTGAGAAGAGCAATCTCAGGATGAAGTGTAATGGCTCCAAGCAGGCCAGCAGCCAACGTATGAGCCAGAGCTCAAATGGTGTTGAGGCTCCCCATGTTGTGATGTGCCTCAGTGCCAGATATGCTGGAGCTCCACAGCCGACCCAACAGGTAGCCGCTACTTTCTGACAGCTGTGCATGTGGCACGTGCACACAACACAAACAAAAAACAAAGGAGAAAAAGCACTGACCACTTGCTAGGGAAGGGAAAGGCGCCCAGACCAACCATCACTGGTGGGATGAAGAAACTGAGGAGGCACAAGGGCGACGGCAACTAATATACCAGACACAAGAGTGTAGCACTCTAGAGGATGCCACAGCTGACCCTGTGGATACTGCTAAGGCAAAAATCTCCAAAAACTGCACATGGGTCACACCCACCTGGAAGAGATTCAACACAAGCAAGCACTTGAAGAAGAATCCATTATATTTGCCTCATCATGCCTTTGCATCCTCACCATAACACCATTGCCTGACCTCCCCTGCCCATCACAGGAGTCGAATGACCCCACGCCCTCACCATGTTTCAATCTTCTAGGCCTCTCAAGGGCAATCAGAGAAACTACTACAACAGATATTGCCCAGACAGGAAACCTCTAGGGACAGCTGTATGTGCCATCCACTCCAGGCCATTTACAAATCTCTCTACTGCATTTCTCATGCCCCTCCAAAACTGCCCTAAAATCTCTCATGCTGGTAGAAACAGCCCAAACTCTCCAGGTCAGAAATCCTCTGTTTCCTGATGCAAAAGCCCAGAATAATTCTAGCACCCTCAGCAGGCTGGGACAGTGTACGCCATAGACCTCATGCTTGTGTCTATCTGACTTTCTGTTCTGGTTTTCTCCAAGAGGCTTTCTGCAAAGGAGCTGTCCCCCATGCCAGAAGAGCCCAACAGTACACAAAGCACTGCTGGTGGATGAGACAGAGTGCTCACTGAAGGGGTAAGGAGCTGACCTTTCGGATCAAGGGGATGGCATTGTTCTCTGCTACAATCATGGCATTATCAGTGAACTATGGCACTGAGAAAACTAACCTTCTGCCAGGTGAAGACTTAATTATTATTATTACTTGTCTTACAACAACCTCAGGGATCAGGGCCCCATTGTGCCAGGCACCGCAAACACAGAACAGGAACATAGTCTCTGCCCCACAGAGCTCACAATTTAAGTAGTTTTCAGTCTCCTCTTCAGTCAGACTAAGAGGATCATCAACAAAAACATGGATGAGACTGGATTACTGGGAAGTCTGGATGGCTTCTGCCATCTCAACTACTTACTTGGTGTAGCTGACACGTGATGTAGCAGAGAGATCGGTTTGCTTCATCCCCCTCAACATAAGCATCCATTACTACTGTCCTCCCCTCTAAAATCAGGACACACTCGTAATCCCATTGCTGATCCTACAATCAGGAAGAGAGAGACAGTTTCACCAGTATCCACTCACGTGGCCAAACCTACATACAGTGACTTCCATGCTCTCCTCCCCCTACATAACTTCTGTTCTTGTCACTGTGCAACACGGAGAGCCAACAATGGCCCAGTAACCTGGTAACGGAGGCTGCTGATTATTAATCTCAGGACCCTCCTGTGAGCTCCCCAGCCAGGCTGATGGTTGCCACTAGAGGAGAAACCTTCAGCAACTGTGTATGCGGAATGCACACACACCTATTGGAATGGACAAGAACCAACACTTGACGAAGAATAGTAAAAGGGAGTTACTCACTGTGCAGTAACGGCTGTTCTCCGAGGTGCGTGTCCCCGCGGATGCTCCACTGCTGGCGACAGGTCATCTCTGGAGATGCAGTTCGGAACTTTTTCCTAGCAGTTATCAATCAGGCTGCACATGCCAATCCACCCCCCCCTCATTTCAGTTGCTCATCTACTCCCAAGAAGCCAGGGCAATGAACAGAGGGGAGGATCGTGGAGCACCCACGGGGAAACACACCTCGAAGAACAGTCATTACAGCACGAGGTGAGTAGCTCCCTTTTGTTCTTCTGGTGATGTCCCCGTGGGTGCTCCACTGTTGGTGACTACAAGGCAGTATTCAGTCTGGATGGTGGACCCGGAGTTACTGCTTGGCAGCAGCAGATACTACCGCTGTAGCCACCACTGTATCAGCTGTTAGCTGAGGCATGATAGCGTAACGCCTGACTAAGGTATGGTTGGATGACCAAGTGGCTGCCCAGTTGGTATCTTTAAGAGGCACGTTGTTTAGGAAAGTCATAGATGTTGCTTTAGCACGGGTGAAATGTGCTTTTGGTGGAGCTGTTAGAAGCTTATTGCAAAGAGAGTGGCATTGCAGTATACAAGAAGATATCAGTTTGGAAATACGTAGGGCTGTGTGACGGGGTGGCCCCGCCCCGCACTCAAGCCCAGGGCAACCACCTGGCGCCGGGGGCGGAGAGGACCCCACCCACACAGCCCTACTGGGCATGCTCCCAGGGGAGCCAAGGTATAAAAGGCTGAAAGCCTGCTCAGCAGGGGCAGACGGTGGCCAGAGCTGGAGCTAGCGCCCAGCTGCTCGAGCTGCAGACCGGACCGCCTGAGAGGGAGTCGCCAGGCCCGCTGAACGCGCTGCTGCCAGGCCCAAGCCGGGCCCGACCCCAAGGAGGGAGCTGCCGGTCAGCCCCCCGGGACCCAGGCGGACTGGGGAAGGGCCGCTACAGCGCCCGACTCGCACCAACAGGTGGCGCCGCCACGCTCCGGGGGAAGGGCAGGGAGCTGGAAAGCGCGTTGCGGGGAGGAGCCCCGAGCCAGCGCTGGGAGCCACCCCCCGCTGGGTCGGGCCCCCACCCCTCCTGCCCTGGACCCCGGCGAGTGGGGGTTCGGCTAAAGGACTAGGCCACAGAGCCTGTGTACCAAGGACCAGGCCGGGAGGCCGTACTTCCCCTAATACAGGGGCAGTGTACGTTCAGATGAGGCCGGTGGGCCGTATTCCCTCTGATAAAGGGGCACCATACTTTGGGACTAGGCTTCAGGGCCTGCAAGCCCAGGACTAAGCCAGTGAGTCGTATTTCCCCTAATAAAGGGGCATCACACTTTGGGACTAGGACCGGGTAGTCTGAATTATGCCCCGGATGCGAGCGGCAACCCCAAACGAGAGGGGAGCCTCCCGACAGGCTGAGATTGGTGTGCTCTGTGAGTGGTTTACAATGGATACAAAGAAGCGTGGTGATTTGCGGAATAGCTGTGTCTTGTCTATATAAAATGCCACAGCCCACCAAATGTGCAGAGTACGCAGCACGGCACCCCTTGTGGATACATGGGGTTTGGGAAAAAAAGTAGGTAGAACTATGGGCTCATTAATATGAAAGGAGGTGCTGATTTTGGATAGAAATGACGGATGCAGCCATAAAGTTATTTGTCTTTGGCAAATATCATGTAGGGTTGTCCGGCCATTAGTGCCCCCATCTCACTAACCCTCCTTGCTGAGGTGATGGCTACTAAAAACAGCACCTTCCTTGTAAGAATAGAGAGGGAGCAGCTGGCCATGGGCTCAAAGAGGGGCCTCGTACGGCAGTCTAAAACCAAATTGAAGTCACATGAGAGCTGTGGGGGCCTCCGTGGAGGGTAGAGGTTCTGGAGGCCCTTGAGGAATCTCCTGGAGATGGGATAAGCGAAGACCGATCATCCATCAATTTGCTAGTGGAAGGCCGTAATTGCTGCCAAATGTACCCTGACGGAGACGATGGATAGGCCTCCACTTTTTAGATGTTATATGTAGTCAAGGACAGAATGAAGCAGAGCCTTATAGGGATCAATGTGCATCTGTCAACACCGGGATGAGAACCATTTCCATTTCTGCAGGTAAATGGTTCTGGTTGATAGTCTTCTGCTTTGCAGGTAGATGGTTCTTACTTGTTCAGGGCACTGGGATTCAATGTCATGGAACCAGAAAGGAGCCAGGTGTGGAGGTGAAGTGTATGAAGTTGAGGGTGGAGTAGCTTGCCCCAGTTCTAAGAGAAAAAATTGTGTTGACATGGAAGTGGATAAGGTGGTTCAACAAACATGCGTTGAAGATACGGGAACCAGGTCTGTCTGGACCAGGATGGAGCTATTAGGATGACTCAAGCCCTGTCCAACCGGATCTTATGCAGGATTCTGGGGATGAGTAGGATGGGGGGAAAGGCATAATGCAAAGGTTTGTTCCAGATGATTAGGAATGCATCTCCCATGGAGCCCTTGCTCAGTCTGGCTCTGGAACAGAAGCAGAGAGACTTGGCATCACTCCAGGTAGCAAAGAGGTCTATTGCTGGGTAGCCCCATCTGCGAAAGACAGACGCGGTCACCAGTGGGTGCAGCTCCCATTCGTGGTCTGTGAAAAAATTGTGACTCAGAGTATCTGCCATGAAGTTGTTGACCCCGGGTAGGTATGATGCTCTTAAAGTTATGCCATGATGGATGCACCAGTTCCAGGGGCAGATGGCTTTGGCACAAAGGGACCGAGAACGAACTCCTCCCTGTCCGTTTATATAAAATATGGTTGTCATATTGTCTGTGAGTATACGCATGGTGTGGTTGGTAATGGTAGAAGCAAAATGCGCACTCACACTTCTGACTGCTCTGAGCTCGAGAAGGTTGATTTGTAGTACTGCTTTGTGTGGTAACCATCTGTTTGCCTCACCCTACCAGTGAGGAGTCCATCGTAATTTGTATTGAGAGCTCGGATTGGTGGAAGGGAACCCCTGAGAGGAGATGGGGGGGTATAGCCACCGTTTGAGAGAGCCCACCACATGTCTGGGGATGGTGAGCCGCTTGTGAAGTGAATGTCAGGATGGCATATACACTGATGCTAGCCATGCTGCAGGGCACAGAAATGGAGGTGTGCGTACATGAAAAGATACTTGGTAGCAGCCATATGGCGCATTAATTGAAGGCAGGTATGTACAGTAGTAGAAGGGCTCATAGAGTGGTTACTAGGTCCTGTAGCATGATAAAACATTGATGTGGGAGATAAACCCGGACCAAAACAGAATCGAGGCGAGCGCCAATTAACCCTATTTGCTGAATGGAATAGAGTTGACTTCTGTTCGTTTATGAGAAGTCCTAGATGACTGAAGAGACACTTGGTCTTTGAGACCATACTGGTGATTTCTGCTTGCAAGTGGCCCTTTATGAGGCAGTCAAGAAAACTCAAGGGGCCGAGGAAAATCCGAAGGGGAGGACTCTGTACTGAAAGTGATCCCTTCCTCCGGAGGAGCGGGAGTAATGTCTGTGAGAGGATTGCGATGTGGAAGTTATGTGTCCTGTAGGCTAAGGGCTGCAAACTAGTCCCCTTTGTCCAGTGCAGGAATAATCGAAGCCAGTGTGACCATTCTGAAGTGCTGTTTTCATAGGAACTTGTTTAGCTTGCGGAGATCTAAAATCGGTCTCCAGGATCCTGTGCGTTTTTGGCTCAGGAAGTAAGCTGAGTAGAACCCACTTCCTAGGTATGGATCGAGCACCCTCTCTATTGCTCCTAGTTGGGGGAGCCGATCAATTTCTTGCCTGAGAGGAGTCTCTGAAGAGGGACAGAGGAGGAGGAAGGGGAGAGGAAAAGGGATGGAAGTGTATCCCATGTAGATGATTTCTAGCACCCACTGGTCCGATGTTCTGGAGTCCAGATGGTGGAAAAAGGGATGCAGCCTGTGGGTGAAAAGGTGTTTATGGCTTATTGGCACTGGATGGTTGGGGATGTCGGGCAGACCCTCGACAAAAACTTCAAATTTGCTGTTTGGGGGCCGGGGAGCTGGAGGAGCGTAATTGAGGTGAGTGCTTCCTCTGAGCCGTTGTCTAGATCAGATATAATCGCATGGTTTGTGCTGAGGACGGTTGTAGCAGGTGTCCCTGTTTGTGTTGTATGGGGCATAGAGTCCTTGTTGTTTTGTAGGATCTCATCTGTGTTGGCTGCAAAGTGCTTTTGTTTACCAAAAGGGAGATCTTCCACTTTGATCTGCAGGTCCCTGGACACTCCTGCTGTGTGTAACCAGGAGGCTCTCCTCCTTACAACCGCTGTAGCCATTGCTCTAGCCTCTGTGTCAGCCACGCCAATAGTAGTGCCGTAAGGGCAATGGTATGTCCCTCGTGGATGACAGCTCTGAGGATGGGCCTTTTGGAGTCAGGGAGGTGTTCCATAAGTTCAGCTAGTTTAGAAAAGTTGTCAATCATGGTTTACTAAAAGCGCTGAGTAGTTAGCAATTCTGAATTGTAGTGTGGCTGACGAATATATTTTTCTCCCAAAGTGGTCTAATTCTCTTTGTTCTTTGTCATTGGATGCCGATAAACTGTGGGGCTTTCAAACATTGTTTTGCTGCATCCACCACCAACAAATTTGGTTGAAGATGGGAGAAAAGGAAATCTAAATCTTTAGCAGGGACAAAGTACTTCCTGTCCGCTCTTTTAGAAGTTGACTGAATGAGGTGAGTGTTTGCCATATGTCATCAGACACTTCCATAATGGCTTTGTCAATTGGTAGAGTAATCCTTCCCTGAGAGGATGGCGGATGTTCTTTAGGAAGCGGTGGTGCTTCTTCTTTTGCCTGGTTGCCACCCTCTTAAAAAGTTCTTTAAATTGTTTCAAATCATCAGTGGTGCACGTGTCCTCCTGAACTACAGCTTCATCAGGAGATGAAGATGTAATTGTCTCTAAGAGAGCTCTCTGGAGCCTATATTTTGATGTGATCATCAGGGATCTGACCCTCCTCTTCCTCCGAATCAACCATGGTCGGGAGGGTGTGGGATGGGGAGGCTGGTGGAAACCTTCTTGCCGGAGTAGATGGGGCCATGGAGTAGTGTCTACGAGATCCCCAGTGCTCCCATAGGGCCCAAGAGGGCAGGTAATGGGGAGCAGGATATGGCCAGTCTGGGTACCACGGAGGTTGGTATGGTACTTCATGGTACTGATGATAGTGATGAAATGCCATAGGAGAGGAGTGCTGTGAGGAACACACACTCCTCTAGTCGTATTCCGCAAGTGCAGTGCGTTCATGGAGCAACTGAGGTCTAATGTGTAAGACGAAAAAGGCCCTGGAGAGCGGGAGGGAACTTGTGTGGCTGTTGTTATTACGAGGTGCTGGTGAGGCGTGATCAGCTACAGCTCGCTCAATGCTGCAGCGCCTGCGCCGTAGCCTCTGAGGGAGGAGGCATCTTTGTTGATGTAGGAGCACTGGGAAGTGGCGCCGAGGACTTGCCCAGAGCCAGGTGCTGATGTGTCGCTTGCGCCGGTGTTGGGGTTTGCCAGCGCAACTTCTCCAGTGCATCCCCGGGTTAACGTGGGATGCCAATGTAATGGTGCCTGCTGAGGATCTCGGCACCGACAAGCTGGAGGTGCCGGATGCATCCCCCATGCTCATTAAGGCAGAGGGGTTAGGGGGTAACGACCTCGCTGGGAAGACCCTTTTCTTCTGGCATCTGTGAGGTGAGGGGGAAGCTGCCATTTTCCTTAGTGGGTCTCCCGGGAGCAGCCAGCTGCACCACTCCCTCTGCCAGCTGCACCGCTTTTTCAAACAGCAGCATTTGGAGCTGAAGCTCCTGGTCTTTCCTAGCCCTCGCTGTAAGGTTGCAGCAGTGGTTGCATTTTTGGGATGCATGTGAGTCCCCAAAACAATGCATACCTAAAGTGTGGCAATCAGAAACGGGCATGGGGTCATTGCTCTGGCACTTCTTGAACCCCAGAGAACCCGGCATAGTAAGAGGCATTATACTCCTGCCTCCATTCCTGGGGCAGTGACTCCCTATATTTGTCCACTGCCTGCTCAGGAGTGCCTGCTGATTAGCAATTCTGAGCAGGAGACCCCCTGAAGAGTAGGCCTTGCGACCCAATAGGTCTCACCCGGTGGCTTCCCTATTCTTGGGAGTAGGCACCGGCTGTCCCTGACACTAGCGGCGGTTAAAAGCCTGCACTAATATTGAGCCCGACAGCGGATGTGAAAATAAATGCTCATGGCCTGCCTGAGGGACGAAGTACCGCCGCTCTGCCCTTTTGTCCGTGAGTAGTATGGATGCTGGCATCTGCCAGAGAGCTGTGGTAATTTTGCCCACTGTTTTGTTCAGGGGCAGGGCCATGCAAGACAGTATCTGTGCATCAAGGATATCGACCATCGGGTCAAATTCCTCGAAGGCCCGCTCGGGCTCCGTGAGACTCCGTGCCAGTCTCCAGAGGAGTCCTGATGGGCTCGAGAATCCATGGCTGGCATTAATGTAGAGGCCAACTCCAAGGCCTCATCCAGAGAAGATGACAAGTACTCGCACACTGTCAAGTCTTCAAGTTTGTGTGACCCTGAGAGGGAGCCCATTGCCTTAGGGGCCTTGATCCCCAGTGCCCTCTGACGGAAGCTGAGGTGATTCTCTCCAGATCACTGGGGCGCCAGGTAAAGGTGTGGCCAAAGGCGGAGCTCAGGGTCCCCAACAAGAGGATCCCACGGTGGAAGGAGCACTCCCTTGGGTCTGATGGTACCCCCGCGGAGTCCAGAAGGGCCACTGGACGGGATGCTGCCACTGCAGAGGCCATGTCTGCAATAGCATCTGTGGTAGCGACTGGCCTGAGGCGTTGTGATACCGCTCGAAGTGCTGGGAGGGGGAATGGCGCCAGGACCTGGATCGGCGCTGGGACTGAGAATGAGACAGTGTCACTCGGGACCATACCGACTCAACATCGGAATCCGTTGAGAAGTCGGACTCCGACCAAGGCGCGGCCAAGGCAGAGCCTGGGGAACGGTGCTACTCTGAGCATTGAACCATGACCACTCGCTTGCCCCAGCGCTGGATCGGTGGTGGGGGCATCAGATGCTCCGGTGCCACAGGCTGTGCCACCGGAATAAGGGTGCTGGAGGCCGAGCTCTCTCTGGACTCTTGCAAAAGCGTGGCCAGTAGCACTGAAGGGGCCGCTGGTGCTGGCACTGATGCAGGGAGGATGCAATTGGATGATAATCTCATTGCTGCAACCATACCCGGACTCTAAAGGAGAAGGCGACCAATTCCCCCACCAGTCCACCAGCACCTCCTTACGCGCAGATGACATTCAAATCCATTTTGTTACCAGAAACTACGCTGGAGCTTGCCAGCTTGCACCTGTGACAGCACCTCAGCCGTGCAGGGAATCTCAGTGCTTCAGAGGGGTGTCTTCAAATATGACGTATCTGGGAAGTGAGTGACTAGAGGCTGCCCACAGGATGCCCTGCTCCAAGCAAACCTCTTTTCAGTGCTAATGGGAAACAACAGGCACATACCTGAAACAGATGGAAGTTTTTCCCCAGTAGGGTTATCTTCTGTTCCACATTGACTGGAATCAGGGAGGGTCCTTGAATGCCCTGCACACAGGGACAAGCTCCAGGACCCAAGTTAAACTCCTCAGTCTGAAAAACAAACTCCCACAATGAGCACCCACAGTGCAGGGAATTCAGCCTGACTGGTGCAATTAGCACAGGCAAATACAGAATGAAATCTCAGCCTCACAGACGGGGAAACTGAGCTCACTGTCTATGTCTATCCTTGGAGGGGATTCCCAGCTTCCCTAGCCATGCGTGCGCTCATTGAGTTAGCGTGCTGAGAACTGCCGGAGAGCTGGCATAGCCCAGGCAGCAACAGGCTCAGACAGGTCTGACCTACACATGGCTAGCCCGTACCTCCTTGGTACTGCCCATGCTACTGCAGCTAGCCCCATGACAGCGACAGCAAGTATGTCTGTGCGAGCTGGGACTCCCACCCCCAGCTCCCACAGCAGACCCAGCTATTTACTAGGGCAAGGAACGCAATATAATTAGGCTCTACAAATTTCACAGCCGTGAAAACATGCCTCGGACAGTGTTCCCTCTAAGCTGCACACTGGTACAGCTGCTCAGGAGAGATTCCAATGCCACCCAGCTGATGAGCAGAGTGCCCACAGCTAGGTTTCATATCTACTGGTGGTGCACATTCACACATGCCCTGGGGCACATAACAAAATTCATTCTGCACCCGAATGGAAAAGATTTAGAGGGAACATTGGTCACTGACTGTGAAACTGGCCCTGCCTTGTGAACTCTCATCTCCTCGAAATCAGCCAAGTTGGGGAGGATCAGGACTTGTCCTTTGCTGCTTGGCTGTTATCAGAGGAAGAATCAAACTGACTCACCTCCACAAGCAGTACAGCAGCAGCTATGAGCAGCTGCCTCACACATTTCACGGCTTCTGCTAGGGCTCAGGGTTCTCTCTCCCCCCCACAGCTCCTGCCTAGCTCCCGACGCCTGAGCTCTGGAACCGCTGCCACCCACTCCTCCTCTCCCATGCTCTGCCCCCGTGGCTCCTGACCACGCTCGGGACGCTGCAACTCCGGAGCTGCTTCTGCCACTATCCCCTCCCCCACAGTTGCTTCTGCCCAGGCGTCAGGAACTCAGGCTCAGGGCTGCCACCCAGCAGCTCTGGCTGGAGCTCCAGCTGGGACTTGAAGCTGCCCCCCCCCGCCGCT